ACATGGAGAGACCATAAAACTTTACTGAGAGATATAAAAGAAGACTTAAATGTGTATCAGGAAATATCTTATTGAATTCTAAGAAGATTTAATCTTACAAAAATGTCAAATTTTCTTTAGATTTTTTCTAACTTGAGTCCATTCAGCTTAGCCAGTATGGTTCAGTGGTTGAGCATCAACCTATGAACCAGGAGAGCACGGTTCCATTCCCCATCAGGACAGGTGCCCAGGTTGCAGGCTCAGTCCCCAGTAGGGGGCATGTCTGAGGCAGCCAATCAGTGATTCTTATCACTGATGTATCTCTCCTTCTCCTTTCCTCTCTCAAATCCATAAAAACATATTAAAAAAAAGATTCCATTCAAAATTCTATGAGATCTCCTACCCCACTCCCCCAGGAACTTGAGAAAATTAATCTAGACCTTATTTGGAAAATAAAATTGTCAAAATATCCAAGAATATTCTGAAAACCAAAGACTGGAATTGGCGGTCAGGGATTGTAAGGGTAATACGGTTTCAGAAAAGAAAATATAAAGAAGAACTTAAAGTATAAATATATAGCCACATTCTTAATTAACTTGTCTGAAAAGGAAAAAAAAAAAAAGCAAGTTTGAAGGAAATACTCCAAAATGTTAATAGTAGTGATCGCTTTTCAGTGGCAGGGTTATATATACCTGCATCTTCATGCTATTCTGTATTTCCAAATTTGACTAAAATGAGACTGTATTACCTTTATATTTAAGGGGAAAAACAATTCTCTCCGACACCTTCACTACACCTTCCCCCACAATGAGGAAGAGAAAGAACATCTAGTTCAGCAGTTCTCAAACTGTGGGTCACGACCCCTTTGGGGGTCAAACGACCCTTTCACAGGGGTCGCCTAAGACCATTGGAAAACACATATATAATTACATATTGTTTTTGTGATGAATCACTATGCTTTCATTATGTTCAATTTGTAACAATAAAAACACATCCTGCATATCAGATATTTACATGACGATTCATCACAGTAGCAACATGACAGTTATGAAGTAGCCACGAAAATAATCTTATGGTTGGGGGTCACCACAACATGAGGAACTGTATTAAAGGGTCGCGGCATGAGGAAGGTTGAGAACCACTGGTCTAGTTGGTGCCTGTCTGCATGTACTTCCTCTTTCTCTTACAGGGCAACCGCCTTTGGCATCCTCAATGGATTATGCAAATTTGGAGCTATCCTGGGAAACACCATCTTTGCTTCTTTTGTTGGGATAACCAAGGTGGTCCCCATCCTCCTGGCTGCCACCTCTCTCGTTGGGGGCGGCCTGATTGCTCTTCGGCTGCCAGAGACCCGAGAGCAGGTGCTGATGTGAACGGGCCACGGGAAGAGGAAATGTCGGAAGAACCTTTCCCGGGGACCCTCAGGGCATCCACACTTCCTGTCCGTCACCGCCCAGAGGACTTTGGAAGCGCAGGAGGAGATGTTGACTTTGTGACCCCTAATCTAGGACCCATCTCAGCTTTAAGATGTTGGTAACTCAGGTGACCGATTTGGGGTGTCCTGAGCTGCCCTGGTAATCATGGAACTGTTCGCTTGGTTCTAGGTCGCCCCAGCCCACGGCAGGGGAGGAGGAATAACACCTCCAAGGGGGGTGCGTGCTAAGCAAGGAGGTGCAAGGATGTCTTTGCACTTGAAGGTGGATTTGAGCGTGAGGACACTCAAGCTCCTTCATAAAGTTCTTCAGAGCCCAGTGACCTTACAACATGTTATCTGGGCAAGAAGTTAGCATCGTCGTATAAATATTGGGCTTGAAGTACAGGGTCCATATATTTTTTTGCATTGAAAAGAATCACCTATCATATTTTCCATTTGAAAATTGGCACCGCCGCGGGGAAGATATGCTGATATAGAAAAACAAATATTTGAGCATTATCTATAGAAACCTACTCCCTACCCCAAGGGTCCTGAGCTTTTCAGGACGATTAGGTGATACATTTAAGAAAGATATTTATCCCTTTTCGATCTAGTCAAAGAAGCCTAATGGGATAGGTATTCTGTGAAATAACTTTGTACATACTCTATTTGGGTTTTGTTCGCAGACATGGTATCTGCAAACATGTGCCAGCAATTATATAGCCATATTTTGGGAGGACTCGGGGATTGAGGTCCCGGGAAACTGGGTCCGATGGAATGAAATGCAAGCACAATTTCTTATAGCCATTCAGCTTGCTGTGGAGAGATGCACTCAGCAGACCCACATCGCACAGTTCGTGGAGTTTAGGCACATCTCTTCGTGTAGCCTCTCTCACACTGATCGCTTGTGAAACTCAAGCTCGCTGTCTGCGGACCTGGCATTTGACGTTGCTGCTTCCCCAGAACAACATGGGAGGTGCTCGGTGGCCTCTGGTGTCTGTGGGTGAGCATCAAACACGGGAGACAACACGCGGGATGGAGGGAGAAGGGAAGTGTCCCCACAGCTCTCCAAAGTGCTAACTCTCCCTGTTCCTTTCAGCAGCAAGACACGACCCAGAGTTGGTCCCATGAGAAATCGATGCTTTGTGTTTCGGTCCAGGACTTTTTTTTTTTTCATCTCCCATTTCCCCCCACTTTGCCCCGCTCCTTCCAGCCCCTCCTCACCCCTCCAGGTCTTCACTGCCCTATTGCCCATGTCCATGGACTATGCCTATAAGTATATACGTTCTTTGATTTATTCGGTCCAGGACTTTTAAAGCAGATGCCATTGCCATGGGAGTAGGGAGTGTCATGGATCTTAAATACGTTTTCCTTGAGAGCTCTAAGGGGACTCCTTCGTGAGACCCAGTTTGGACATGAATTGGGGGTAAGAGTGGGGTGAGGAGCAGAGGACAAACGACGTTGGCAGGGGTCAGCAGTGGACTGAAGTGTGGACGAGAGAAAAGGCGGACGTTGTGTCCATGAGAACTGTCCTGCGTGGAGGGGCAGTGAGCTATGGACGCGCGCCACTGGCGGTGAGCGGCAGCCTGAAGAACGCACGCTTTGAGGCGATAAGCGAGGCGATAAGCGAGACGCTCAGGCCTGCAAGGTGCCCCTTTCCCGACCAGCGGTCTCCAAAAATCTTAAACACAGTGATGATGGCTCGCCACGTGCTGTCTCAGGGTTTGAGAGGCGCTCGGGTCTCAAGACAGCTGGGGGCCGTCTTACTGTGGTTCCCTGGAGTGACTGACGGTCGGTCGAGAGCACCTTTCTACCCTCAAGCCGAGATCGGTTTTACTGGTTAAAATATTTCCTCTGCTTCTCTTGTGTCCCACCCCTTTGTTCACCTTTATTTTTTCTGTACAGCGAAGACACATGGGCTCTGATTTGCCATCCTGATCCTCCCAACTATATACATACGCCACTGTGGGTTAGTGTTTCTTCCAGGGCTTTGCAGACGTCACCTAACAGGAATGCTAGGTGGATGAGGAGAGGCCCGGTGTAACATAGCTGTAATATACTCGCCACATTCTTAGGATGTGAAATGCAGTGGCTAGTTTTCTGCAAGAGCGCCGTGTCCACCTGGAATGACTACAGCCCTCGTAGCACTGTTCTTCAATGCATTCAATGAGCAGCTAGCACGTGAGAAATTCACAAGGCCGTTAGAAGCTGCATTTCTTGTTACGGTGGATCTTGTAAATCTAAAACGTGATTGCTTTTTTAGTGTTGGGGTGGCTGCCATAATTTTGGGGTAAGCTCCCTTTGATGTCCGAGCGCTAACTTCTGCACTCTCTTTCTGGCTCCTTATACCAACCACCTAAACAACCAAGGGCAATTCTCATCGCATCCCTGCGTTTCCCCACGTGGGATTGTCGGGCACCGGCACATGCCCACCTCTCAAATGCTTTAAATACAGTCTCTGTGGCAGGGCATGGGGTAGGGGGTGGTGGGGAATGTATAGCATTGACGTTCTACCCAGAGAAATGGAATCGTGGAGAATGAAAGGAATGAGGTTCTCCTTTGGCGAGCAAATCTGTACCCAGTTCATGATGGACTTTGTGACCCCCAGTTTGGGAGTGGTTACTTTGAAGAGTTGCCACTGTATTGTGTCATTTCCTGATGCCGATCTCCGATCTTTTGTTTCATTGAAAATAATTAGTGCGAGGGGTTGTGTCAGTTTGTGAAGTGTTTAGCCCATGAGCCTGAGGTCATGGCACACAGACCCCTCCGTGCCTACGGTGTCCTGGTACCTTGTGTGCGTTCATTAAAAAATAATAAAAACAGTTGTAAACAAACCTTTCAGCACTGAGGCTAGAGATTCTTTTCGGCTTCGGAGGTCTTCTGGATCCCCATGTTGATAGGATCGGCTGGGAGGAGCATCAAGAATCGTTCCCTTTCGTTTTGTTTTGCACCCGGGGACCTTGGGAGGTTAAAGGATGTGTCTCAGTTGACACATAATCCTAGAAGCGGGTTATGAGGCTTACAGCGATGCTCTCTCTATAACTCGGGACTGATTCCTCACCGATGTCCTATGACAGCGCTCCCCACATGGCCTTTGGATAATGGACAATGTGACCAGCCCTTACCTTCCACTTCTGTCTTTTCCCTTAGATGGTCAAATTAAAAAATGATGACAGCTGCCCGGCCAGCATGGCTCAGTGGTTGAGCATCAACCTATGAACCAGGAGGTCATGGTTTGATTCCCGGTCAGGGCACATGCCTGGGTTGTGGGCTCCTCCTCTTTCTGAAATCAATAAAAAAAATTATAGATATTTAAAAACATGACGACAGCCAATACAACAATAGCCATCCGGTGTGAAGTAATTAGTTTATGTGTGCCGTGAGATGAGCAAGGTTGAAAAGTGCTCCCCTACGTAAATGGTGAGGAGCAATGAACATGTCACATTCAAAACACTTCATCACGGGATTGATCTGAATGCCAACCCAACAGTGTAGCCACAGCTCTGGGTGGGAGAGGGTCTTAGAGGCCCTGCTTTGCTGAGCACGATGGGTTAAGTTATTGGATGGCGGAGAGCACTGGGATTCGGGGGAGTGTCCTGGTTGAGTGGTGGTGTGTGTGGGGGGGTGGCATTCAGGGACTTTAGGGTAGTGGCTCTTTGCCAATTGATATGGAACCATTTCAGTGTTTTAACAGGTATGGAGGTGCCAGTGGGAACTGGCTGAATAGAAACCGTAGGAGAAGGACTTGTCAACCCCAGGGCAGCATCCTCGGCTAGTAGTGGTTTCCAAAGACCTATGAAAAGCTTGAGGTCGGATTTAGATTCTACCAGGTATGAGTTTGCTTTATAAACACTAGAGGGCAGCAGCTACCTTGGAACTGTGCACAGGCCTGTACTCCAGGGCTGGTGAGCGGGGCTCTCCCAGTTTCAGTCAAGGGAGATGAGGCAGCTTTTGCAAAAACACCCAAGTGTTTTCTCTCTATTCTTTAGGATGCATCTACATGTGGAGATGATTCCCCAGGACACTTGTTGGAGGGCTCAGGGTGTCCTTCAACCTGTTGTCACATGCTTGGGCCTGAAATACGGAGACTTTTCTAACCTTTGGGGGCAATTGTCCAGATTCAGAGAATATTTATTCAACGCGCAGGTGGAAACGCCTGGCACATCGTAGCAGACGGCTGGCATTCGACCCAAGCTTATTTAACCGGTCCCTCACCATTTACTGTTGCTGGGTAATTGCATGTAAGCAAAACACTCTCTGGGTGTGCCCTGGGGATTTGTGAAGATTAAGTGTTATAAATAAGGACGTAGAAGTGAGTGCTGTTTGCATAGTCACAAGGTGTCTGTGCAAAAATTGAACTCTTCCCTATATGGGAGGTGGCTGCTGACATTAACCATATTTAAACACTCTGTTCTAGCCCAACTGGCATGGTTCAGTGGTTGAGCACCGACCTATGAACCAGGAGGTCACGGTTCGATTCCCAGTCAGGGCACGTGCCCAGGTTGCGGGCTCCGTCCCCCAGTAGGGGCCATGGAGGAGGCAGCTGATCAATGATTCTCTCTCATCATGGATGTTTCTCTCTCCCTTCCTCTCTCAAATCAATAAAAATCTATTTTAAAAAGTTATTACACAGAGTGACAAAAAACACAACATGTGGAGGTTCATACAACTTTGCTATTTATTTTAAGCTACTCTTCAGGATATAAATGGTTTGTGGAGTTTGAGTGAATTACGGATTGTGGGTAAAGTAGTGTGTGTGTGTGTGTGTGTGTGTGTGTGTGTGTGTGTGTGTGTATGGCTGGGTGGCGGTGGGTAGCACAGTGAGGCTTCACGGTTACCATGACTACATCATGAAACTCCCCTGACAACTTGAACTGTATACGGCCAAGAAGGGGGTTTGAAAAATCATACCAACGAAAAATAGAGGGGGTTACTCATTCCCGAACTGGGAAACAGTATTTCCTTAAAAATTATGACCATCTGGGCACATTCTCTTTAAAGATTCTGTACTCCAGATGCATTTTTGTCAAACAAAGCAGAGTTATCTTTAGTTACACAAGATTTGAGGAGCAGTGACTGAATGTCACAACTCTATGGGAACCTGGGAATTGGCCGTACAGGGGTGTTTGGTTTAGCTGGCACTGGGTTGTGGGGCGGGGATCTCTCTGGCTACATAAGTAAATCCCTCCCCTTCCTTGGAACTGTCAGGTTGAACTGGGGAGGACAGGCTGAGCAGCATGGAGATTCTCATGTCCTTTAATCTGTGCCAGCCGCAGCTTTTCTGGGTCTGCCTGGGCTCCCAAGGCTGCCTCAGCATTGGGGAGAGATAACCCAAGGAAGGATCATGAGGAGGAATCACTGGACTTGGGGCCTCCGTTTCTACATCTATAAACGATGAGGTTTGGAGTGAACTATCCTCCAGGTCTTTTGCTTTTTAATTTACATCTACATTAATTACCAATGCTAGAGGAGGCACACGCCCCTGATGGGAATCGAACCTGGGACCCTTGAGTCCGCAGGCCGACGCTCTATCCACTGAGCCAAAACGGTCTCGGCAGGGCGTAAAGCTCTTGACTGTAAACCCTCTCTTCTCCGAGAAGACAAGCCAGCATTCTAGAAAGGCAATGCAGCGCTCCATGTTATATTAGTGTGACTGTGCCTGTGGCAGGAAAAGTGAAGCCATCTGCAGGCTTCGTCCAGGGCAATGACACACAGCATCCCGGTCCAGGCCCCCCACCTCTCCCCCCCCCCAAGTTTATTCTGTGGCCTAAAATGTTTCAGCCATATGGAGGACTGAATGTGTGGCTTTATAAATGTGATGAAGACGCCATATCGACTCATTTGCTAAATAAATGTATTTATTTATTTTTATTGTGGTTTTTGTAAAATAAATCTTTAATGAATGCATGGGCTACACACAAAAGCTCCAGCGATGTGTCCGGAAAAACAGGGCAGTGACCTTGCAGGCAGGCCAGAGCACCTGGATAGAGCTCTCGCCCACCCTAAGGAGGTGGAGGGGACGCAAACCACGCAGATCACCAGCCCCTCTAACCCTGGAGAGGTTTGCTGACCCCCCAGTCTTCTCTGTGCAGTCTCTCTCTCTCTCTGGTTTGTTGCACCCGAAAGTGACCCCCTAGAAACGACCTCCACGTGGCTCTGTTCCAGGTAGTGGTGGGAGCTGCATGGAGCTGAGCATGCGCTTTGGGGGTCGGGGCACCAAACCTGATGGGAGGAGCTGAGCATGCGCTTTGGGGGTCGGGGCAAGAGCCTGACAGGAGGAGCTGAGCATGCGCTCTGGGCGCCCGGGCACCGAATCTGATGGGAGGAGCTGGGCATGCGCTTTGGAGGTCGGGGCACGAGCCCGGCAGGAGCCTGACAGGAGGGCTCTTGTCTGCGAGGCACTGGCTGTGGTGACTCCTGAGGCTCTGGGCCGTGTGGCGGGACCGCTAGGCCCTGGCTGTGGTGACGCCTGAGGCTCCGGGCCGTGTGGCGGGACCGCTGAGGGGACCCAGCAGGTAGGCCCAGGCCCAGGAGAGGGCGGCCGCCATGGAGGTGGAGGGACGGGAGCCGCCGCCTCAGGCCCAGGTCCCGCGGCTCCGGGCGCCCTGGGCTCAGCTTCTCTGCCTCTCGCACGGGGGGCGGGCTCAGCGTCCTCCTCCCCGCCTTCCCCGGTACCCCTCCATCTTGGACCCCCCTCATGTGTTGAACTGAAAAGCCGTAAGTGAAACGCACCTACACTTGGCTGAGGAGCAAGTGGCTCACCTGGGACCGGGAGCAGCAGGTGGCGCCCGTCACGTCACCGGGCGGGGCTGGTCCAAGGAAGGAAAGTTCTGGCCGCAAAACCGCTGTGTTGTGGGCGGGGCCCCGCCGCTGGGACTGGTTCCCTGACGAGACTCCAGGGGGCGCATGTCAGACTCAGGCAGCGGCTCTCAACCTTCTGTCCCTTTAAATACAGTTCCTCATGGTGTGACCCAACCATAACATTATTTTCGTGGCTACTTCCTAACGGTCATGTTGCTACTGTGATGAATCGTCATGTAAATATCTGATCTGCAGGATGGTCTTAGGCGACCCCTGTGAAA